ACCTTCGCACAGGCCTTTTGCAGAGTAGTTACGTCGGTCGTACAGCCACTTGACACTTACATACATACATATATCGATCTTTTAAGCCGCCCTTCTTTACTGCTCCCCTCGTCCACTCCCCCCCTTTCTGGTTTGCTGTAGACCACCCATCCGTACTCCGTACTTCGTACCTCTCTTTCCTTCCTCCCCCAAAACCTGGTCCTTCATCTTCTTCTCCACTCCTACCTTAAACCACTCACTCACTCACTCATTTACTCACTTCCCCCTCCCCTCCCCTCACCTCCCCCATCGTACATAAACATAAACATAAACATAAACATAAATATCCAACCACCCCATCCACACCCATCTATCATCCATCGATTCACTTTGCAGACTCTAATCTAAGCAAACTCTCTTCACTTTGCATCATCATCATCATCTGCGATTGCACGCGATCCCACTGGGTTGTGCTGTTACGGGAGTGGGGCATCTTTTCCCATCTTGGCCGGGCTTTTCCACGCTAAGAGTAGGGCCAAACATAGCCTTTGCCCTGTCACCTCTCGACCACCTTTTCCCTAGACTACACTTCTCTATCAACATCATCTGCATCTCCTGGAAGGGGGCTCAACACCACCCATTGAATCCGCCAATTCTCGCCTGTTTTCTCGTGTCATTTTCGATAATCAACACGTCGACATCCATCTTCTCGCGCCCGACCGACCGTGCGCCTCGAATTCAGCGCGAAAATTACGTGACCGACCCAAACTCACCCTCAGACTTTGTCAATAACGTCAACAAGGTCTTCTTATATGCGACTATCTGGAACTTGCATTACCGGATTCCCTTCAAATATCTGACTTGATAGCTTGCAGAGCCTTGCATCAAGCCTAATATATTGGGGTTGGGCAAATAATCACGCGTGGTACGTACGATTCCCGTCTCCCAGTCTCCAGTCCAGGTATTTGAGCTCCACCCGAGGTAATCTCCTCGGGAATGCTGACTAGACACCAGCTAACTGGGAGCTCGCAGTGTTGCTATAGACACTCCATAATTTGTTTTGTTCTTGTTTAGTCTTCCCTCTCACCCTTCTCCTTTCTCACAATATGCCTCCGGTAAGGATCCTCTGATCAAGTGACGCGTCTGTTGTGTCTACTGTTTACCAACCGTGCGGAAACTGCACCCTGGCGTTCTGCCTCGCGTGTACGGAGTTTCTCATGCTAATGTCCTTGCAGGCTAGAAGCCTCCGCACGAGAGGTGCCATGAACGAGAACGATGAGAACGGGCCGTCGACGCGCCTGACCCGGGCCAAGGCTGCTGCCCTGTCGTCCGGTGACGCCCACACCACTGCCGCCGCCACCAAGAAACCCACCCTACAGACCAAGAAAGCTGCCACCGCCACCACTACCGGAACTACGAGACGACGTGCGGCTCTCGGAGATGTGAGCAATGTTGGCAAAACAGAGAATGGCGAAGTCAAGGAGGCGAAGAAACCGGCTGCGACCAAAGCTCCCTTGGCACCCAAGAACAACCTGCCGACCGGAGGCGTTCAGAAACCCACCAAAACGAACCCTGCCCGCACCAACCCTGGAGTCAAGAGCGACACCGCGAAGAAGCAGCCCGCAGAACCGAAACGCCCTGGTAGCGGATCTGGAATTGGTGGAAACCAGCCGAGACGGACCACGACCCGCAACTTGCAACAGAAGGAGGCAGTGCCCGAGGAACCACCATTGAAGAAGGCCAATGTTGAAAAGAAGGAAAAGAAGCCAGTGACGGAACAGGTTCGGGATGAGAACGCCCAGGCACCTATTGATCCCAAGGTTCTGGAGAAGCCCACTGAAGATTTTGTGGATGATCTAGACGCCGAAGACCTCGACGACCCGTTGATGGCCGCCGAATACGTTGTTGAGATCTTCGACTATCTTGCAGTGCTTGAGGAGGAGACCTTGCCCAATCCTGACTACATCGACCATCAGCCCGACTTGGAATGGAAAATGCGTGGTATCCTGGTCGACTGGCTCATTGAAGTTCACACTCGTTTCCGCCTACTCCCCGAAACCCTGTTCCTTGCTGTGAACATCATCGATCGTTTCTTGTCTGAGGAGGTGGTCGCCCTGGACCGCCTGCAATTAGTCGGTGTCGCTGCTATGTTTATCGCATCCAAGTATGAGGAAGTCCTCTCGCCCCACGTCGCGAACTTCAGCCACATTGCCGACGAGACCTTTTCGGATAAGGAGATCTTGGACGCTGAACGCCATATCCTCGCCACGCTGGAATACAACATGAGCTATCCAAACCCGATGAACTTCCTTCGCCGCATTTCCAAGGCAGATAACTACGACATTCAAACCCGTACTCTTGGAAAGTACCTCATGGAAATTAGCCTTTTGGATCACCGATTTATGGAGTACCGCCAGAGCCATGTTGCGGCCGCTGCAATGTACTTGGCTCGTCTTATCCTCGCTCGGGGGCCTTGGGTAAGTTTGTTACCATTACCTATCTACCCCGCAAACTAACGCATGGTTAGGACGCCACCTTGGCTCATTATGCTGGATACACGGAAGAGGAAATCGACCCCGTCTTCCGGTTGATGATCGATTACCTTCACAGACCCGTGTCCCACGATGCGTTCTTCAAGAAATACGCTAGCAAGAAGTTCTTGAAGGGTGAGCACACCTTGTCCCCGTTCGGCTCATCCTATGATCACTGACAGTCCTTGTAGCATCCATCCTTACCCGGCAATGGGCGAAGAAGTACCACCAACTCTACATTACCAGCTCTATGTCAGAACCCTACCACTTCATTCAAGAAAAGGAGTAAAAAGAGCGTCTCCTCGTGACGATACTAAACCGGCATCCGACAAAACGACCCACAATAGGAGTTGGTTGATCCATATGATGGTATTTCATTTCTGATGGTATAAGGGCACCTCTTGCATATGTTTACGACGGCATTTTCTTGTTTTCGCTTGCGGATGTTTGCATTGCTCGCTTCAAGGGTGTCTGGCGCTTTTCTCCTCTGCCTTGTGTTCGAGTTCTTCTCTAGTTCCTTCGGCTTGTTTTCTTGGTCGTCTCCTGGGCTGTACTTGCTGATACCTACCTAACTTAAATATTCTCCTTCGTGACCCTGGGTGCTATGTGCATCGGATACACCAAGGTCGGAGACTCTACTCCCAGTGTTATTTCAACTCTCTATTTCATTTTTGGTTCTCCTTTCGCTTACAGCGACTGCTAAATCTCTTTGTCATGCATCTTTCTTTTTCCACCGTGCGAGCCAGGTCTCTCTGCTGTGGAGGTATGTATGCTCAAGACCTGGACGGATCATGGATCACAGCGCGTTGATCATGAATTGCACATGTCCTGAATAATGGCTATGGGTAAGCATCGAGGCTTCTTCCTGAAGTCCCTACGTGTATGGGTAGAAATAGCTGCAGCTTGCTTGACGGTAGTTCTGGAATGACGATTCGAGAGCAAATCATTAAGAGACTAATTGAGTTGGGTTGCTTTCTGTTGTGGAATTGCTCTGGCATTGGCAATAGCAGCGGCTTGCCGTTTGTAAAACCGAGGTTCCGAGGCTGCTGCCGGGTGCCAGCCACCGCATTCATTTGTTGTTTCTACTTCCATTCCTCAACCAGCATGCAAACCACCTCCTTCATAACCAGAATCCTTCTGTGAGAAATCTGGAACCCTCGTTCATTCTTGGCGGCGTTGCAAAAGCAATCGGATAAGCTTTCCTGGCACCCTCAATCTCCGTCGCAACAACTAAGCTGCAGTTGCAGCTGCAAAGCAGCACGAACTATATATCTAGATCCCACGCACCGTCGGTGGCGCTCCCATCCACACCTTGAACAACAAGTATACCAAGTCACTCAATCCAATCCACTTGGAATCGAAAGCAAGCAATCAACCATCACAACCCCAATGGATACCCCATCCTCATCCTCATCATCAACCCTATGCCCCTTCTGCACCATCGCCCACACATACCCGCCTCTCCCCCCGACAACGTTCCTCCCGCAAGCCCGCGATCCCAAGAATGCCTCCCACCCAGCGACGCGCGCTACGACCACCACATCCCCACATTCAGCTCTCGACACCAGTACGGCCCACCTCATCCTCTCGACCCCGTCCCTCCTCGCCTTCCTGGACATCATGCCCCTGACGCGGGGCCATCTCCTCCTCGTCACGCGGGAGCATTACGAGAAGCTGGGCGATGTGCCGGTGGGGGTTAGTCGGGAGGTTAGTCACTTACCTTACTTACTTACTTACTTGCCTCTCTTCATCATCCAATCCGATTACATGAGTTCTGCTATGCTGTGCTTGTTGGTGTATACAGCTGATCATGACGGCAGATCGGCCAATGGCTCCCCGTCCTCTCGCGGGTGGTGATGCGGACGCTTCTCGGGGCGGATGCAGCAGCCGGGGAGTGGCATTGGAATGTGGTGCAGAATAATGGTGCGTTTTTCTTTTCCTTGTTCCCTTTCTTTTCAATCATGTTGGGAAGGGCGAGGGGGAGGAGGTTAGTGCTACAGCTCCAGCTAACCCGGACACTTGTGGGGGGGTTCGGGGGATAGGCGTCCGAGCAGCGCAGCAGGTGCCGCATGTGCATTTCCATGTGATTCCGCGCCCGGATTACGGCAGTGGTTCCGGGGTTGGGCGGCCGAGTTTCGTGATGTTTGGGCGCGGGCAGAGGGAGGAGTTGGATGAGGAGGAGGGGGAGGCGTTGGCGCGGGCGTTGAGGGGGGAGTTGGCGAGGGAGGTGGTCCATGTCAGGACGGTGAAGGGGGTGGATTTGGAGGTGGAGTTTGGGGTTGAGAGGGAGAGGAGGGGGAAGCTTTAGGTTTTGTTGGAATATGGAATTGTCTAGTGCTGTATGGATGTATATATAGAATAGACACGGGGCATGGGTTTTGTTCTTGCAGTTTGTCTGGGATTTGTTTATGCTTCCATTCTTAGGTTTTATTTGAGGTAAGTATCTGAGTAGGACGTGATGAACTTTTAGTATGGGATGCACAGCGAGTTTTATTCTGGTATCATGAGGCCGGCGTTGCGCTGCCTGATCTGGGCTCTTTGTTGTCGTATTGGGGGTTTTTGGTGAAGTACTATTCCTCCAGTCAGTATGCGTGGACCCTGTATGGACTACCCGGGGAGGGGGTGAGGGGCAACGTGCCTTCTTTCTGAAGGAGTTCAGTTGATCGGCGTAGACACCTTCTGAGTCGAGTCTGCTGCGTCCCTTGGACACATCCCATACTTGTCCTTCGGGGAGTCTGCGGTAGGTGATGAGTCGACGGGACCCTGAGGCGTCGTTAGTATTGTCCTTGACTCATGGGAGGATGTTGGTAGAAGGAAGACGGCGCTACTTACAGTTGTAGAACGGCTGAACGGATACACTCAGAACCTCGAGATTCGGGTGCATGGGCGTGTCTAGCTCGAGATCCTCGTCGTTGGCGGTAGGCATCCACATGCACATGCGTCCACCGATAACTAGGGTCCGAGCGGCGAAGTTGAGGATGTCGTTCTGCATAGCCTCGAAGCCGTAGGGCTTCTTCGGGGCAATGTAACCGGGTCGACTGTGCACACAGGATCAGCAAAACAGGGCTCTTCTGCCCCAGAGAGTCGCCACTAGAGAAGGAAAGAACGTACAGATGAGCCGGCACCCCATCGATAATCACCTCCTCGTTCCGGAGCCCCTCCCGCCTGCCCAACACCCTCAGCCCCTCGCGCACCCCGTACGGCGGATCGCAGACGATCCCGTCGAGGAACGGCTGCGCGCGCAGCGGCGTATTCGTCAGGTCGGAGGAGAAGACATCCAGAAACTGGCCGGCGATCGCATACTGCTGGAAGTTGGCGAGCACGCCCATGGTGCCGCCGCGCTCGATCATCTCCTTGCCGCGGAAGCTGCGGCCGTCGATGTCCGACCCGAAATTCAGGGCCCCGAAGTGACCCATGGCGACCAGAAAGCTGCCCGTGCCGACGAAGGGGTCGTAGAACAGCCGGCCCGGCGCCGCGTGGGCCATGTTCGCCGTGATCAGCGTCAGCTCCGCGTCCATGGACGTCGTGCTGATGTACCGCCGCTTCTTGAGGTCGTACTTGTTGATCACGTCGCGGCTGCTGTTGGCCAGCCAGCGGCCGAACCAGATCCGCTTGGGCTCCTGGCCTTCTGGCACGGGGCGGAGGATGGGAGTGCTGCTGCTGCTGCGAGCAGTGGCAGCACCCGTGGCGGTGGCAGCGTCAGCGGCAGCCACATCCCAGCCGTAGTCCTCCAAGACCCAAAAGTCCTGGTCCGGGTTCTTCAGGCGGATGGGACCCTGGAAGCCGAGGAAGGAGAACGACTGGATGATCTCGCGCTTCTTGTCGTTGCTGCGCTTGCCCGCGAAGCTGTCCACCGTGAAGCGGAACGAGTCCGTCCGGAAGTCGGCCCAGCGGGCTTCGGTCGTCCGCCTGCGGACGTCCGCGTGCACCTCCTCCAGGTTGGTGCCATAGCCCCAGAGCTCGAAGATGTCCTTTGCTAGGATACTGCGGGCGATGAGCGTGCGCGCCGCGGCTTCATCGGGGACTCTGATGACGCAGAATGGGGACTGGGGGTGGATATATTAGTTCATCTTCGCTGCTTTGTGGCTCTTGGTGGTGCGGGGGAGAAGGGAGAAAATCATGTCGGCGGTATTCTGTAGGCGAGGTGAAGGAGAGGTATACTACAGAATCATTGAAGTGATACATACATATTTATCGTAGTAGATGAATTCGAGATCAATGCCGGCCAAGTCGGCCAACGCCTGGATCTCAGGCTGCCGGAAGGACTCGTGGACCTGGGCGAAGCGGATCAGATATTCCATCGTAATCGTTGGAGGGCTTGCGCTGGGCCCCGCGCCACCGCTATCTGGTCGAACTGATTCAATGACTGCAGTATGGCAACTGCTGAGAAAGATACCAGACAAGAAAGGCTCGCAATCTAGTCAATTATCTGATTGGGAGCGTCGATGTGCTTGGCTGGTCAGGGAGAGATGCGGAATCGATTTTTTTTCTCATGATCCGCTGGATTTGAGGATCCCGTTTGTCGTCGACGCCTTCCAACAGTCCAGCCCTGCTCAACATTGGAGGAACCACAATGCGACTCTACGACTTCGAATGAGACTGGGGGATTTTGTGTACGATGGAAAGGTATAAGAAGTAGATGCAGTCACTTGTAATGATATTTTATCATTGTAGCAATTGTAACAATTGTAACAACCAGGTCTCCGATGGAGCCAGAGCCGGAAACGAGAATAGATACATTCTAAGTCGCAGAGAAGAAAAATAATCAATAAACACATGCTTGATGATAACAGTAAGTGTATGTCTTCGTCCATCAATCTTTACAGCCTGTCCTTTCCTTTTGGTGATATAAAAACCCACAATGCAAAACCAAACCCAATATACGCCGTATCTCGAAACCAGCTGGGAGCCAGAGAGGGGATGGCTAGCAACACAAAACACCGTCGCTATGCGCCGACAACCCGAAACACATGTCGTGACTCGTAACCTTCAACTTGCGAGATCTCCACCTTCTCATCCTCCGCGATCATCTCGTGTTTGAGCTCCCACCCGGCCCGGCGGCAGAGCTCGGAGACCACCACGTCGCAGTCGCCTAGCAAATCAATATCGAACTCCGTATGTGTCACAGGCTATGGGACTCGTCAGCCTGGGAATGATCTGGATTCGAGGAAGTAGGACTTACAGTTCGAGAGATAAAGATTTGAGGCACGTGACGAGGCAGCACGCCGGGGGCCTCTGCGACCGGTGCCACCTTCAAAGACGTCCCAATGACAATGACCAGATCCACCCGCTCGCGGTCGTGGTGAAGCAGGCGACGACCGAATTCATCCGGAAGATCCTCGCCAAAGAATGTGATATCGGGCTACTTGACTGTCAGCAAGAACGCCGGGCGAAGACATCCCGAGAAGCGCAGGACCCACTTTCATAACACCGGGCGACGGGATTTCGTATTCATCATCCGAGCTGTCGCCGCGGTCCTCCTTGCGATTTCGGTGCACACCCGTGGTGCTGCGCTTGCGTTTCGCGCCCGTCTCCTCTGCGATCCGGTCACGGCACGCGGCGCACTGGGGGATGGCACCCTTCTTGATCTCGTCGAAGATCTCGTCCCCGGACACTTGGAACTTGCACTTGACACATGTCGCGGTGGCGAACGAGCCGTGGCACTGGACGATTTTCTCTGCGGCAACACCGGCATTGGCCTCGATGTTGTCGATGTTCTGGGTGTAATTGGTCAACAGTTTGCCCTTGTCCTGCAGCAGGCGAATGAACGCGTGCGTCGGCGAGAACTTCTTTTCCGTGGGGAGGATGTCCTTGGCGACCGAGAAGAAGATGCTGGGGTCTTCGCGAAACACATGGATGTCGAACACCTCCTGCGGATCGCTGAGGCCCAGATGCGCGAGCTGTGAGTATAATCCAGTATCCTTGGAGCGGAAGTCGGGGATCCCAAGACTGGTGGAGATCTACAGGATTCGATCAGTATATCGCAAACCCTTGCGCGACAAAAAAAAAGGGTTGCGCCCTAGGGATGACTCACGCCAGCGCCGGTCAGCACGATGATGTTTTTGGACTCCTTCAGCAACCTCACCGCATCGTCGATGGTATTGTGCTGTGGGAGCTTCGAACGTCTCGAGAACTCGCGCGAGATCGCGATCGCGAGGAGAGGGTGGTAGGCCTCGTCGGGGGCACCATCGAGGAACGCCGGGGGCTGGATGCCGAACGCCGTGCACAACTTCTTCGCAGTGACCGTCTCTTTTGCAATGGTCTCTTCGACGAACGCAGCCTTGCCGATTTCATGGAGGCGCTTTCGGTACGCGACAGCCTCCTCCAACGTACAGGCATCGGGGACTATAGATACTCGAGCGCGGCGCAGTTAGCGGGTGGGGATTGGGGTGCGCACAGCCAGAGGGCGCTGGGGAAAGTATTTGTATAGATGGGATTTGACTTTACCTCCATCGCGAAGTTGCTCGTCCCGCAGTACTTCAATGGCGTCGTCGTATAGGGACTGGGTTTCCCACTCCTCGCCCGAAGCGTCACTGTCGGTCTCGAAATCGGTCTGAGACATCTCGGCCTTGGGGGCAGTGGCGGTGGGGTCCTTGTTCGCCGGGGCTGGCTTGTCGATTACATCCGCGGAAGTCATCTCGACGGCGACGGCGGCGACTGGGGTCTGCAACGACGACGAGCTTTCCCCGCTGGGCGCGGATTCCAGGTCCATCCTGTAACGGAAGACAAGGGGGGGGCACTTTCCAGCGACCGCTAAACGACCCTTTCCCCAACTCACATTGAGCTCAGTTTTGCCACCCCGAAGGTGCTTGGCCGGGACAAAATTGGCTTGGATTAACTCCGGGGGGGAGGGAGGGAAACGCGCTCGGGTACTACTTTATCCGGGCCCGTACGATAATGGAATGGACAATGGAACCAGAAGGATTTAGTGGACTTGCTTCATATGCCAGAGAGAGGTGCTCATCCAAGGTATTATTAGATTCGTTGTTATTTTGAGCAGGGATAATTTGACTTTTAATTTGGTATCATGACAGGGAAGAGGGAGTTCGTAACATGGACATGCAGCGTTTGTTGATTTCAGGAGTCAGCCATTTCGTGGTCACTGTCTGAGTCCACCTCAATCTCCTCGTCCTCCCAACCTTCCTCACCCTCCTGGCCCTCGGCCTCTTCGTCCTCAATCTCTTCGCCCAGTTCCTGGTTCATCTCCTGAACAAGTTCGAGCGCATGCTCCTTGAGCCTCTCATCCTCGTACTGCTGGATCTCATAGAGAGCCAGACCCTGTTTGAGCCATTCGCGACTGGCAACGAGCGATGCAAGGCGCTTGGCCTCGGGGGTATCAGCTTCCTCCTCCTCATCCGCAGGGGCTTGTTGCTTCCCGGCTAGGAGATATAAGCACCATCCGCCTAGATACCAAGCCTCGATACTCTGGTCATCTTCCAGGATCAACCGCTCCAAGACCTCCAATGCCTCGAACTCTAGCGCAACCTCCATCAAGAGACGAGAAAGACTGATTCTGGTAGCAAAGTCCGGGATGCTAGGGTCCTCCGGGGGCAGGTCCTTCCAGATCTCGAGACTCCTTCTCAGTGCCGCTTGGGCGTCGTCTGTCCGTAGCTGCGAAATGCGAATGGAAGCCAGGGTCTGAAGGACCTCGGGTCCGTTGGGTTCCACAAGGAGGGCCTCCGTAATGAGCGTCTCGCAACGGTTCTCTGCGTCTTCCTCCCAGCTATTTTATGTCAGCACGGAAGGTTCATCATCTTGCAGCCACACTGGGGGAAAGCCGGGGTACCACTTACGAGAGATCGGTCATATAGATCTCCGCCACGGCGCATAGGGCATTGGCCATTTTGCGCTTCTTCTCCAGCAGCTCGGCCGCCTCCTGGGGCCCGGGGTTCTGTTCTAGTTGCTGGATGGCATGTCGGAGCGAGGAGACACCCTTCTCGAACCACCGGACACTATCCTTTCCACCTTCCTCGCTCAACTGGGCCAGCCACAAGAACTTCTCGGCGCCGCCGCCCTGAGACTCCGGTATCGTTCCGTTGGGGTCGGCTTCGACCGCGCGCAGGAAATGAGCTCGGGCGGTGTCGATATCTCCGAGTTCGACGTAGATCTCGGCGACGGCGATCAAAGCCGACAGGTGTGAGGGGGAGCCTGCGGGCGAGCTGTCGAGCGCCTGCTGCGCTAGTTGTAAAGCGGCATCGGCCTGGCCGGTCTGGATGAGTATCGTCGCCTGGTCCAGGAGCTGGGTGGGGTCTTCGTTCATCTTGGTCTGCGACTGCTTCACCGAACCACCGACGCCGAGGAGGGACTTCTCGCGAGATTTGGAGGATTTCTTCTGTTTCTGAGGCCTGGACTTGCCCATGTTAAGGTATTACGTTCAAATTGAGTATGTGTTCGTCAATTGATAGGTCATAAGATGTTAAAAAATAGAAATGCAGAAAAAAAGAAACCCTAGGAAAGAGGAAGCAAAGTATAGCAATTGTAGCTTTTGTTGGATCTTTTTTTCCAAGGCGGAGCATAGAAATTCCCTTTTTCGGGCGGGATAAATTTGGGGCGGCCGGGCCTTCCCTTATCTGTTTGTGCTGTTTGCACGGCGACCGCAACATTCTACTCCATGCCGGATTGATGAAGAGGGACCGATCATTCTATGCTCTAGCTCAGGATTATCGGATCAGGAAAACGCGAAGCGATCTTGGTGCTTGCTCATATGTACTACAAGCTCTACCGTCATTAGTGCTCGTCAACCATCAAATCTGAGAGCTAGGACCTCTCAGCAACGAGTTTTCACTCACCCCACGGAACCGAATACCCCTCCACCACCCCCGCCGGCGGCGCATTGAAAGCAAAGATGGGTCGCGAAGATCAGATCGAAGAGCGTGAAGTGCTCGACTCCATTTTCCCCGAGGAGATTACAGGTATGCAAATCTAGTCCAGTGGCTCAGAAGACTGTTGCTCTTCTGTTTGGTTCCTGGTTCGGGCCATAATTCTGGAAATCGTAGCTGACGAAAGAACCTGCAACTAGACGTTTCTGACACTTCATATCGGATATCGATCGTCCTGGACCCCCCGGACAATGACGTCGAAGAGCTCGAGCCGCCAGTTTTGCTTCTGCACGTGTCATACCCGGAAGACTACCCGGACGTGGCCCCGGAACTCGATATCACCGCGGCCCCTAATGCACCGAAACACCCCCGAATCGATGTCTCGGAGGACAAGAACCGGCTGCTCGAGGCGCTGCAGCCGACCATCGAAGAGAACATGGGGATGGCGATGGTGTTCACCTTGGTAAGCGCGCTGAAGGAGAGCGCCGAGCTGCTGATGGCGGAGCGGGTCAGTGCCATCCACGCGGAGCGCGAGATGGAGGCGGCCAAGCGCGAGGAGGAGGAGAACCGGAAGTTCCAGGGCACGGCGGTCAACCGGGAGACGTTCCTGGCGTGGCGGGACAAGTTCATGAAGGAGATGGAGGATGAGGAGAAGAGGCTGCGCGAGGAGAAGGAGGCCGAGGACAAGAAGGCACAGAAGAAGGCGCCCGGGAAGGAGGAAAAGAAGCTCACGGGCAAGCAATTGTGGGAGCGCGGTCTGGCTGGCAGAGCAGACTTTGATGAGGAGGAGGAGGACGCTATGCCCGCTGCTGTAGAGAAGATGAAGATCGCCGCATAGAAGCGCGACGTGCTCTATGACCAAATTTACAAGTATACATTCAGTTCGCGTGCAAATGGGCCTTTAACCAAGATATTGAGGTGTCCAGGCCGACAGATGTGTCATGCATAAAGCGGGTATTGACCAAAAATACCGGGCGGATTCTCGAGACATATGGCTATGATTCGATGCTATGGATATGACGTGAAGGAATGGGGTATATTCGCCTGGAGAACGCATAGAGGACTCGCCCACTTGGGCTATGCTTGGGCTGTCTTCGTCGAGTTGAGGTTACTCGTCCAATCCTGACATCCTCTTCAATGATCTATGCACGTGCCCTAAATCCCAGTCAGCTAGATTGCTTGGGTAGTTCCGCGCGCTCTAGCCGGCCGACTTCCTTCTGCTCCGTTTCTGTTCCTCCCGTAGTCTCTGTTGGAGCATCCGCCGCCATCTTGGCAGCCCGTTCCTCGGCCTCTTTGGCGGCCAACGCCCGCTCCGCGAGGACGACTTTCCACATGGCTGTCGCAAGCTCCTGATCCTTGCGCTCCATCTCAAAGACTCGTCTTTTGAGTTCCATAACGCATATATCAACGGGATGACGCCACGTGGCCGTCGGCTCTCGTTCCGCTTGGCCGATTAATCGATCCCACTCGTCCTCATCCTGAGCCCAGAGTCTCGCCTCCTGTAACTTACTGCGCACGCGAAGTGTCCTGTTTCGTTTGCGTTGTTTGCCCCGGATAATGTGCCCGATGATCGCGGGTTGGGGTTTGTTGATCCTCAGGAAGGGGACGCCGCGCGCATTCACGAGTTTCGGGATGCGGCGTATCCCGCTGACGACCGGCCGGGGACGCGACAGAACCGGTATGGCATCGGGATGTCGCGACATGGTCCGCCTCGTGGCTGCCCGGTTGGCCCTCTTCTTCAGCTCGAGAGCGCTCGGGGGTTTTCTCGGCTTCAACCGCCACAGTTCTCTTTGCATCGCGGACTGGCGCTCCTTTGCTTCGGCGGCTTCGGATAGGAGGGTCCGGAGACGCTTGGTTTCCGTGCGACGACCCTGTGAAACGGCATGGAGCAAGTCGAGTGCCTGTATATTTGCCAATCGGTCGGCCGTTAGCACTGGATGAAACCTGAGGCGATGGGGGACAAGAGCGATGAGGCTTTGCGTACATCATATCCCGCTGTCAATGCATGCGTGATTCTCGACGGACTTTCGAGGCCCTTGTATCTGTGGAACCGTAGTTGTATGTGCTGCTTGGGCGCATTGCGCTCCGGTAGGTTTTCAGGTAATTTGGCGCATTGTCGGAGAAGCGCGCGATAGAGCGCTAGGGCTGTACGACAATGGGGCATTAGTCTCATCCTGCAGGGGTCGTTGTTTGCTCTATCTGTCGGGGTACGCACTTGTGAACCGGTGGATTGAAGATTTGTTGGGCAACACCAATTTGTGCATGGTGAGATAGATAAGGCGTTCAATGTCGTGGAAGTCAAATATATTCTGGGAAGCATGTGACTGCGAAGATATCAATCGCGATCACGTGTCAACACATGGTACAAGGGCGAATGTAGCAAAGTGTATGGGCAAGAAACCAAGATTTACAGATATCCAGGCAAATTTTCAATCCAGACCATGGTCCCTATCCTGTAACCAGTCGTCGCTGCAGTTGATGAACAATATGAGTTTAGATAAGGCTGCGCGCTACACTCAGCATTTCGCTACTTCATAAGATCATCGTAATGCCCGCTCCTCACCGCCTTGGTTGTGTAGTGTAATGGTTAGCACCCAGGATTCTGATTCCTGTAATCCCGGTTCGATCCCGGGCACGACCTGTCTTGACTTTTTGCTGCTTCGCTATTTTGAAGCTCTATGCAGTCTCATCGGCTTAGCCGCCAATCGACCCAATGGCATTGGCACATGTACCACCCTAACAGAAACCCGTGTGCCCTATCGGTTTGCTGTCTCACTCACTGTGGCAGTGCCTAAGTCTACTTAGTCCGTGTCCATGAAACCTTAGAGGCTAATGATAAATGCCATAGCAAAGGATGGTCTAAGTAGCAAGGTTGACAGGAAAGTCCACACCGACAAAGATTTCTAGAATCGATGAATTGCGACTAGGCTTCGATTGACACCACGCCATGCCCACCGTTATGCATAGACTGTACACGCTCTAAGAAGTAAGACGAAAGAAGACGCGAACGAAACCGCACGCACAAAACCAACCAGAATACTCCTCATTCGGTTCCCGAGTCATTTCACAGCATCACGTTGCTCAGAAGTTGGAGCCCTCCGGGGGCTGGGGAAGCTTCTTGTGCTGGGGCAGAGCCATATACCTGTGACATAGTCAGAACCTGCATGCACCAGAGGAGGGTCAGAGTGTCAAGGCACGACATACCGCCGAAGTTCGAGCAGAATAGTCTCCATGGTGAAATCGCGCTTCCATTGAGCCAGGCAAGGCAGCTTGGTGGGGTCAACCTAAAGAAAAGTCAGTACTCCTGACCCTGTTGGGCTATCAGCGAAGCTCTATGCGTACCTTGCCGGTGTGGGGATCAACGCATGGCAGATTAATCCGGGAGACGAATTGCAGAGTGGGGGGATTGTCAGGGTAATCGGGACCGCAGTGGATCTTGACACTGTATATTCTGTTCTCATGGACGCTCTGTTCATTCGTTGTCGAGTCAGTACTGCTGGGGTATTGTGGCGGGAATAAGTATGCGGAGGGGACGGACATGAGGAGGGCCCAGGATAGTGCCATTCCAGTTGCTCATCATCATATCTTCGCCATCATCCAGACCGTACGAGCAAGCCTCTAAGGATGAAAACAAAAGTGCGTTAGTGAACTGTGCGTCATGTGCCACCTTGTTTTGTGAAGGTATGCTCACCTGCGCCCAAGCCCTTCTCGCCCTTCTCGAGCTCTTCGAGCAACCTGAAGTTTCTGGGAATCTTGGCCGACATGATGCGGTATATGAGTTTGGAGAGAGGGGTTGTGTATCTTGAATGTGGGGAAATGAAGGTTGTTGTTGAAGAAAGGTAAAAGAGATCAGTACTGGAGGCGGAGGAGGGGCACCACGACTTTATCCCACTTGCGGCAATGACAATGGGCACTGGCACTGCAATGGATGGAGTGGCTATTGCGTATCTTGTCCCGCCGGGTTCCTGAAGAACAGGTCATGTGATGATAAAGAACCAGCTGATACCACGTGATAGTCTCCAACTTATCTCCGTTGCTGCCTTGGCGCTCCTGAGAGCTGCCACTCCGGATGATGCGTCCGTTGCTTGATTGTTCGATTGATCGTTCGAATTTGCTGGAAATGGCAGTTATGTATTTGTATTGATGTGCATTCACCCTTAATAAGACGTATATTGCGTCAATACATGTGCTCTTTCACCAACCTCTCTTCTCTTCCTTTACCGACCCAATCAGCGATCCAACCACATGAAGCCACATCTGCCTAGTGCTACCTTACTGTACTGTACCTTACTGTCCGACTCGACTGGCGCCGGCCATGATATGATTCAACACCCTGTTTGAAATGTCCTCCCAGTTCCTACAGGCGGAACTCTTGAATCTTATCCAAGAGTCTAAGAGAAGAAACTCGGAACTCCGCACTGTAAGCTTCCCCCGTCTAAAAAGGGATTCTTGAGCATTGATGCTGACTAACGATAATACAGGCCGCCGAAGAGTCGCTCAATGACTTGAAGGCACTACCTTCAACCTCAGAGGCTCAGATATCTGCTGGTGAGTGTCTCATTGGAACATGACTAAGATCCAATCCAATCGGTATGGATGCTAAGATTGCGTGAGACCTTCTGCGCAAACCCAAGTTTGTGAATCCCTTCATTATCGCTTGCCATAGTCGCCATGCCAAGCTCGCAAGCATCGGAGTCATCTGCCTGCAAAGGCTGGTGGCATCCCGGTCATTGCCACCGGAGCGCCTTCGAGATGTGCTCTCGGGCCTGAAGGAGACGGCGAGCATGAGTAAGTCACTCAATCAAGTTGATCAATCGGTGCTTTACTTATCCTGTGAAGGCCTGGATATTCAACTGAAGATATTGCAAACTCTACCGTCCTTGCTTCAACATTATGCGAGTGATCTGGGCGGGGATCTTCTTGTGAGCACGCTGGAGATCTGTGCAACCTTGCAGACGAACAAGATGCCTGCTGTTTCAAGCACAGCCGCAGCAACGCTCCAACAGCTTGTGGTATCTACATTTGAGCTAGTCACTATCGAAGACAGTAAGATTCTCGGTATGTTGATGAAACTCGGAACAGCCGATTCTGACCATATTGCAGAGAACTTTGACAAAACGACTCCCACGGTCATTGTCAAGGTGGATGGGAATCCCATCAACGTGGGACATTTTGCGTATGACGCTCTACGTGTAGGCTTTCGCTCCCTACCTGCAGCTCTCTGACTGGAAAACTAACGGATGTATCAGGTTCTGGACGACCTATGCCGTCTCGTAGACGGTGAACCGCTCTATTTCCTTCGCATCAAATCTCTGTCCACGCCGTTCACCCTAGAGCTCATCGAGAGCATTCTACTCAATAGTGGCAGGCTTTTCGTCACCCATGCCGAGTTGACCCAGGTCTTGCGGGCTAAGCTGATGCCAGTTCTGGTGCGAATCCTCTCTGAGAGACATACATTCTCCCAGACTGTTCGTGCCATTCGCATTCTCTCTGTGCTACTCAAGCGCCACATGTCTCTTCTGCCTGCCGAGTGCGAGATGGCCCTCGGACTTGTGACGCATTTACTTGAGCCAGACGGGACATCACCGTGGAAGCGAGTCCTCTGCATGGAACTGTTCCGAGGATTGTATGCTGAGCCAGGTCTGGTAAGGCTCATATATTCTTTATACGACGGGGAGGAGAGAAGGAAGAATATCTTGAAAGACCACATGGCCGCTCTGGTTCGTCTCGCCTCTGAGAAGCCTTCTCTGATTGGAGTCAGCGCCCGGTCCACTGTACCTTTACGGACCGAGCATACAAGAGCTGTCACCGAAGAGCAAATTACTCTCGAAGCAGGGGGTGTTGCTGGCGTCATCGGAGCATCTGTTCCTATCACAGACTCCGATGCGCCGGGAATCAGCAGCCAATGGAGCGTGGTCCGAACACCTTATATGGAACTGCTCGATAAGACTGAGCCGCCATCGCCACCTGAGACATATATCTACAGTCTTGTACTGAACTGCATCAGCAACTTTGCTGAGGGGCTTGCAAAGTTTATTCTACCATTAACAGTCCCCGACCTGAAACAAAAGCGGCGAAGTCGTGCGACTGGTCCCGAACAGGGGACTGATTCCCCGAGACAGCCTCACAGCAGGAAGTCGCCAGTACCCATTAACCCTCTTCATTTGGAGTCTCATCCCCAGCTTGCAGCCATCAAAAGTTGTGCTGGCATTATCGATAACTGCTGGCCAGCCATTCTTGCAGCATGCTCCACGTTCTTGTACGCAGCCCTTGATGATGACTTCTACCACAACCTTGTCAGGTCTTTTCAGAAATTGGCGCATGTCGCGGGTCTGCTCAGATTGTCGACGCCCCGGGATGCCTTCTTAACGACACTTGGCAAAGCAGTTATGCCAGCGGATACCGGCAGTGTCAAGCCCGCGAATACGCCGGCGTCCGCTACAACGGCTCTGCAATCCAAACAAACGACAGATGATAAAACGAAGGACTCGCATGTATCTCTCGGTAGCTCATCGGTATCTGCCGAAGTCAGCAGTATTCCTCCAGAGAGTGCTTTCGTGTCTTTGAGCACCAGGAATCTCCTGTGCTTACGCGCTTTGCTTAATCTAGGAATCGCGCTTGGGCCAACTCTAGATCAGCCGGCCTGGTCCATTGTACTCGGCACCCTTCAAGATACTGATATTTTGATTGGTTTGACCACAAATCCTCAGGCCATGACAAGCTCCGCCGAAGCCTCGACTGCATCAATGGATGTGCCTAAAGCCAATCTCGGCGCCGAGATTATAGCCGTGCAAACGGCATCCGCAAAGATGTTCGAGAGTAGCGGCGACTACCCCATTGAGTCATTCCAGGATCTCCTGACTGCACTTTTGGACCTTTATGGGCCCGCTGAGGATGCCTCACAGACTGCACCGCAGTCTCCTACTGGTGAGCTTCTTTCTCCGCGCGCCAGTCTCATGCGCAAAAACACCCACCGCGTGTCGCTTTCGGTGGGGAAGTCTAGGACACAAGATGAATTGGTGAGGTTTGTGCTCGAGAAAGCCAACGAGATAGCATTGGCAAACGTTGATCGACTGTCTTCATTGATTGAGTCCGACCTGAGCGCTTGGAATCTTCTCACTACCAGGCTGATGTCAACTGCGGCAGACAGAGCGATCAGCCAGAAGTTCCGGCTCAGGGCGAATGAGGTACTGAACAGCATTGTGACACTGACCATGGCGCAAAGAGCTGGCGATGAGCCTGCGAAGCAGAATGAACGACAACTCAGGAATCTTCAAGCGCTTAAGATGCAGATTAGGTTGCTCTATGAAGCAAGCGGCTGCTCGATCGGCTTCCCCACTGCTCCAGTTGTTGAAATTCATGAACAAAGCCTGGAGACACTCAAGAGCATCCTTGAACTATATGGCGAGACATTCTTGGATGGATGGGCTCTTGCTTTCGACCTCATCACAAGTGTATTTGGTGAGAGGAATGAGAATGAGAAATCCGGGAACTCGACCGCAAGAAGCCAGGCCAGATGGGTAGCAGATTCAGTTCGACTTGTGCGGGTTGCTTATCAATCGTTACAACTGATAGCCTCTGACTTCGTTGCATTGCTTCCACTACCCTGTCGATTGGACCTGGTGGAATCATTTTCCAAGTTTGCTCAACAGCAGCAAGATTTCAACATCTCTTTAACCACTACATCATCTTTCTGGAATGTCTCAGACTTTCTCCAGGGACAAATCGAGCAATTCTGCATTGAATCTCACATTGATGCCTCCGTGAGCGAGGACGTGCTTGCGAACCTCGCCAAGGGCGATGACCCCTCGATTTCTCGGAATGCTTTGTGGCTACTGCTCCTTTTGAGGATAGTAGACTTGACAACAGATAGCCGATCGGAAGTCCGAAACTGTGCTATCCAGACTTTGCTGAGAATTTTCGATGCATATGGGCAACAATTATCTCCCAAGGCATGGTGTTTGTGTCTCAACAGAGTTCTGTTTCGTATGGTGGAAGAAATAGAAGATGAGCTCTGCCTGACGCGGGAGAAGAATAAGTCCGACCATTCTGATAGCACCAAGGCTTGGATCGAGACAACAGTTGTTATGGTCAAAGGAGCATCTGATCTGATTACGAATTTCTTTGGGACGATAGTTCAGGACGATCTATTCGATCAATCATGGGAGCGCCTGTTGGGGTACTATCAGAAGCTGCTTAGTTTGCGGCTTCTTGAATTCAGTGAAGCTGCCTACTCCAGTCTAACGAGCATCCTTCTTCGGATACAGGGTCCCGGCGAGTTCAGCAAGCAGTCTCTGCGCTCAACCTGGCTCTTGTGGCTGAATGGTCACCCGGCTGATCGGGAGGATATGCTTAACCTGGATAGACCGAACCAAAATGCCGCAATGGCCTATCTTCAAGCATTTCAACAGATATATCGCCTATACAAGGATGATCTTGAAGATGAAAGTGTCAAGAAGATCCTTGGACATTTTCAACTGCTTGCTTGGAACTCGATATCCCCGCCTTACTCTCCGGATATCGACCGCCCTTCCAAGGTACAGGCGCTGCTCATGGAATGTCTGAAGCTCTTGTGCTCGGAAGGCAATTCGCAGTCGAGCATCGTTGTATGTCTGGCAGAACTGGCAGATTCACCTCTATCGAAGTGGTCGCCCGAGAGTGATTCCAAGAAGCCCACTTACGTCGCTTTCGCAAAGGGCGTGATAGACCTTCTAGACTGGTATATCTCCGAGCATGGCATCAAGAAAGACATTTTCCTGGACGGTTCTCTGGCGACCGCCCTGGGTCATCTGGTGAACTCCATTGCTTTGAGATATGAATGGCCCGGCAAGGACCGCGAGCCGAGTCTTGCGCAGAAGTCCACCACTGCTTCCCTGAACATCTTGCAGGTGGGAATCCCATACGTGGAAAAGCAATATGCCACCGCCCAGCAGGAGCAAATCACCCGTTTTTGGGATTGCGTGGTGGACCTGGCAAATGGCATCGTCTCGGCCCGTGGCTTTCGAACCGGTTCCATTCCCCACACCAAGATTTTGAGCGATGAGACCTTCGACGTGGCTGCGTTCAACCGACTGAAGACGCTCATCATCCCATCGCTGGGTGCATCTACGATCCCCGACTCCACCCGCCGGGACTTCGCCTGTGCCCTGTTGCGGTCATCGTTCATCTACGCCCCACAGCGACTCGACCTCCCTCGCCAATCCCTCGAAGAAGACCCGCTGCACGGGTTGTACGATGTCCGACCGGGCAGAACCTTCGACCCATCACCGACGCCTCGCACCAAAATGGCATACGCCGTAATTGATACACTGTTCGAACTCGCCGCAGCGCCATCACTTCCTTCGTCTGACACCGCACCCCCCCTGTCGGAGCATAGGTCGGGATCCGTGGAGCAATCAGCCTCTGCCGCTCGCCTCGCCCTCGCCCGGTCCATCTCCCCGTACTTGATCCTCCGGACCGCCGTGTCCCTGAAAGGCTACATCGCCGACCAGCCCCTGCGGGGCCTGATGCCGCAGCCCACCCCGGCCCGGAAATCCCTGCTGCACCTCCTGCGGGGCATGGTGGCTCTGCAGAGCGACCCATCGACGGTCCCCACGCCGCCGGGCACGGTCAACAGCGTGCAGGCTAGTAGCCCACACGACCTGGATCACAAAAAGCACCTGGCGTGGATCTACCCGCTCGTCGTACGAGCCGTGCAGGTAGCCGGGAAGCAGCAGGACGACGGGGAGGTCCTGCCTGCCCTGGGCCAGGTTCTGTCGGCGTGATTCGGGCCCCCTTGGAGTTGTCCGTTCCGTTTACGCAGGTGAAGATGTATTCTTAGTTTGTTCTCCAGTCTTAGTCGATATCCCCATTACAAGGACCGGTTCAGACAGCGGCCTGAAATTTGTGTATCATGTCAAATTCACGTAGAAGTAGCACCCTTCACTTTGAAAGGAATTGGAGTGTAGAGTATCAGCAATACTGCTACCCCTCCATGATAGTTCCACCTACATCTCCGACAGATACATTACGGAGTAGAAAGTCTGCAACCTCGTGCACACAACCTACCCTATTGCACAAACCCCGAATCCACTTACACAATACACCGAATGAACCGCTCCACCACCACACACATACATCTCAACCACCCACACGCGAAGGAAAAAAAAAAAAGTAAAAAGGAGAAAAAAGCAAGGGTATATATGAAAGAAAGTACAAGTACAACTCATCTCAGCCGCAGCTCCATCCAGCCAGCCCCAGCTCGCCATTCCCCCACCAACCCGAGCAAGAACAACCACCACCTCAACCAGACAACAAGTCTCACGCAGTTTCAGCTCGAATGATGTTCCTTACAACCAACTAGTCAAAAAAACCGCTAAGCCGCCGGAGCAGGAACAGACTGAGCCGCCTGCTGCTGCTGCTGCTGCTGCTGCTGGGCGAACTGGTTCTGATTCTGCCGATGGGCTTCACTCCGACCGGGACCGGGGGTGGCCGAGCCGATGGGCAGCTGTTGCTGTTGCTGTTGGAGCAACTGCTGCTGCTGGATCTGCTGCTGCTGGGCGATCTGCGGGGTGGGGGCGATCTCCGGGGCTTGGCGGTAGAGGACGATTTCGGATTGTTTGAAGTAGCGGCGGGCGTCTGTTAGTTCATCGTTGGGTTGGGGGGTTAGTGGACTGTGTGCTTTTCGTTATGGTTATGGTGGTGGTGGTTGATGATGATGTTATTGATAAGGGAAGGGAGGGAAGGCGGTGTCGTTGGTTGGTTTGGGGAAGGGAAGGCAGGGAGTCGGATGGAGTGGGGGGAGGGAAGCGATGGGAAAAAAATTGGGGCTTCCACGTGAGGACGTGAGGAAAACCTCTAGGCAAATTGGAAGACGGGGGAAAAGCCCATCGCTTGGGGTTTAGTGTGGGGGTGGTGAATGATGGGCTGGACGCGGCGGGCGGTGTGTGTGGCCCGATCAGCGGGAGGGGGAACTGGGAAGGCCCTTCACCGATAGCCGACCGGCTATTGAAATGGGGAACGGAACGGGGGGAACAGTGGGATGCCGTGGGATGTTTAGTGCGGGTGCCCAGTGGAAGGCCAGCAACCCGACCGGTCTCCGGCAAGTGGACACACACTTCTGCCCGATGATCTGTGACAACGCAGAAAAAAGAAAAAAAAAAAAAAAAAAAAAA